TTTTTTGGGACGAGGGCATCTCGCCCTGTCTGGCTTTAGGTGTACGGGCCAAAAGTTTAACAAGCAGATTACATTTTTTACTGTCACAGTCTTTGGTGAAAATTAGCACTGCAGGAATCAGCATTGAATTCTGAATGTTGTAACTGCTCTGAAATTTTGGTAAGGTGAAAAGACTAAAGATTGGAACTACTACGTGCATGTAAGTCAAGTTATTGCGCAGTTAAGATCGTTGAGGGCTTTCTGGTGAATGAGTAGTTTAAATCGGGAAAAGCAGTAATCAGTCGGAGAAAGATTTAGAGAGGAAGGTTGATGCAACAAAACATCATCATGGACGCTCTCAGTTTTCTCCTGTTCAAAAAAACCATTCAGCGTTATCGTGCAATTACAACATTTCATCTTACTCTTCCTGGTCTTCGATGTAACACTTATTTCATATTCTATTTTGAAAGGCACCTTTTTTAGCAGTATTAATTCCATCAAAATCAAAGCTTTTCGTGTGACTTTTCTCTACAAACATTCTGCCTAAATCGTTATTGCCATTTGTTAGAAATGACTGAATGTTGCTCGCAATCATTCAGATTCCGCTACCATATTTCACCCGTTTCTCATCGCAAATAACGGTTTAAATGAGAAGTCGATTTAAAGCGTCAAAGTGGACCTTTGCAAATTCGAATTTCTTCTAGCTCTGCGAGTTGCCGTCGCAGGGAATGTGTGGTAAGTAAAGAAAGTGAAAGGGATAAACAGAAAAGCCAAACATAATGGCTAGCTAGAAGTGAAACAAAATGATACGAAGAAAGCTGTATAGCAAAAAATAAAGTTAAAAGGAGGCTTGGTTTCTAATTTTATATAAGACATCTATCTTGAAACAATTTCTTAACTGTTCACGTTAACCAGGTCGTTTAAGATATACACTGTCTACATGCTATCTAAAAAAAATTCTATGACGTTTTTTGTCGGACTGGTAAGGATGAGTAGATGTACCATAGAATTACTAATGTTTTTCCGTGAGTTGTATCACAAAAAGCTCAAATTTAACGCAAAGGTCTTTTTAAGGTTATTTAATGACTTTCCTCTGTCTACTTTGGCTGGCTGTTGTTCATGCAGAACCCTAGTCTGCTAACATTTGTTTTTGACTTGAATGGTGAGAAATTTAACCTTTATATTACATAAGTGAAATTTTATTTAGTGCCAGTTTCTTACGTTATAGTGTAATAGTACATAGTATATTGAAAACAATACTGTAGTTTAGAGCTGCACATTTTCTGAACGAATGCAAACACACGGTTAAATTTTCATTTCCAAAAAAATTCTTGGAATCTAGGTGAGTACCTTCTGCAAATGGGTGCAAAAAAAGATGAAAGTTTTTACCATGGAGAAGTAAACCCTTTAGTACTTTAGAGATATTTTATTTAAAAATATAATTACCCTATATTCTAAAATACAGTAATACCTGTGTCTTAATAGAAAAAAGCATAGATATTTTCCTTTCACGAAAGTGTACAGTCGCGAGGTCTTGGCTTCCGTGCTCTAGTGCCGCATTTTCGCCAAGAGTTTTGCTTTTGAGACTATATCTCTAGAAAGTTTTGATACTGCAGTGGCTTGAGCCTATTTTTTGCCC